CTGGCACACCTGGCCAGCAAATCCATTGAAACACTGCCAAAAAAAAACTTTAAAAAACAATATACAATGCTTGCCTTTTTCCTTATGAGTTTGAAGATAAAAAATAGAAACCATTATTTATTGTTTTGCTGTCCACTGACAGTACTTTATTTGTTTTCCATCAATTTCAATTTGTTTTTGAATGTTTTATAAATAGCTGATATGTGAGGCAAGTAAAAAGTTTATTTAAATAAAAAGTGATCAAATGGTAGATAGAAGTAGGCATAAAAACTAAAATTTGAATGCGCAGCAAGTCGCTGGCGTGTCAAAACTGCAGCTGCATACTTACTTTGCGGCTGTGGGGCACGCCTTTAATGCAAGTTGGAAACACTTTCGCCTCAAAGCAGTGTAGGCACTGCAATTACTTTCCGGAGTTAGCAAGTGACTTTTTCCATGCCTTCCACTTTTTCTTACTGAATGCGGTTCCCCTACATACTCACATATGTATATAGCATTTTGGCGCTGCATCTGGCTTTGTGTTGCAATAGATGCATAGTTGTTTACTCATTTGCCTATTGGCACTCAAACTAATGAATCATTAGTTGTATGATTAGCCAACAGTAGTCACATTGCACAAATCATCGGTTGGCATTAGTCGCTTACATACATACACACATACATATATCTATACATATTATAGAGCATACAAGGCACAAACTGTGAAAAGTTCTGATTAATTATTTGATGGTACATTTGTCAACAACAGCGCCAACATCATCGCCGTCACTGCCAGCAACACCGCAAGCACCACCGGTAGACAGTTGATTCATATATCTTGTGTGACTTTGATTTATTTTTAAGTTTTTGAGTAGCGAGCTGCTCTAAGGATCATCATCATGTGTTGATTATGCGCTCCACTGCCTTTTAATATTCGGGCCATTATTGTTGGTATGCTGTGGGTGAAAAAAATAAATAAATGTATGAGTACTCGTATTTATTTAGTAGTAAATAGCAATTAAAATGAATACGCAAAAAAAAACGAGAATTGTAAAAAGATAAATTTTATTTTAAAATATTGTTTCAAACTTTGACTACAAATGCAAATATGTGCAAAAAATATGGCAAACTATATTTGATATGTGGTCCGAAAACTGAAAAACACGCGTCAACACTGCTGTTTACTCTCTAAGCCGCCAACACCTTGCCGCTGCATCTTATCATACATATGTATGTCTCTATGTCTCTATGTAATAGCTATGATTTACTTTGGAATCATTACTGTGGACTTTTGAGAAAGCAGCTTAAGTTGTTTTGTGATATAAAAAAAATTTTCTCAAATCATTTTTTAGCGATATTTTCACAAAAGTTCTCTAAAAGCAATTAATTTTTTATCAAATGTGTAACATTTTCCCAAATTCAAATCTGAAAAAAAAAATTTAAATAACTCAAGCTGCATTCTCAAAAGTCCACGCATTTGTTTTTAAGATTTTTATAATTTTTTACTATTTTCTCATTGTATAACCGTAGTAATGTTGCATGAGTTTTTATAATTACTTTTTTATCTACCCGCTTCATACTAATAATTCGTTTAATCGTTTGTTGATCTCTACTCTATTGTTGTTTTATTTACATTTCACATTGCGTTTCTTTCTATATGTTTCTTTGTACACAGTGTTTACACATGATTTTCGCATTTTTTGCTATTTCGCAATGCGTGCCGAGCGAAAAAATATATAATTTCCAAACATTATTTAAAAGTGTCCTACGGCCCCAATACTTTAGCTGCTGCTATTAAACAAAAACAAAAAAAAAACAAAAAAAAACGTTTACCGTTGCCAGCTTTATTGTTGTTGCTATTTTTTAGGAATTTGAAGCGCTTTGCTTAAAAAATTAATCATAAAATACTCATGCGACTAGGCTTTAAGCGCGTATCCCTTAATGTCATTGCAATTTTAACTATACTTGTATTGTATGATTTTTAAAAAACACGTTTTTTTTTACATTTTTCGATGTTAATTTGTTTGTTAGGTGTTTTATTTAAATAAATTAATCACTCAAATGTATTTATATTTGTAACACATTGTCTGTATTCCTCCTCTGTAAGCTTAACTGATATTATTTTAATTGTTGTTTATGTTTATATAAATATATATATAAATGTATGTATATTTACTTTTATGCGTTTATTTTAATTTTAACTTTAACGAATATACGCAATAAATCACACAATCCAACATTGCTGAAAATGAATACACTTTTTTTTCATTTAAATCAACTAAATTTTATCATTTCGCAGCTTCTCTTACACATGAGCCTTTAGCTTTCTAAATTTGTGCCCGCATATCCTCTATGCTATGCGCCGCTGCTAAAACATTACCGGCTTTTAGCATCTACTTATTTACTACACCACCATATGTCACGTTGCAGATCAGGTAAGTTTAGGCTAAAATATTTTCCCTACAATTTACTTTCCTTTTAAATGATTTTTACGCGTCGATCGCCGTGGAAAATAAATTGTTCCGTAAAACCACGTTGCCACTTTTACACCTTTCGCTTTCGAAGCGCTGTTCACGACTGCGAGCAAAAATGAATTTTTCTTACTCGATTTGTGTGCCCATTGTGAGCGGTGGCAACATCATTGCACGCGCCAGACACAATCGGTAATCGGCAATCAACATCGGCAGCAATGTTGCCTATTGTCTGACAGCCAAAAGTCAGCAGCACCACCTCACTTCTTGGCACACCGCGACACACCTCCTATAGATGTAGTATATGTAAATGGCTTTCGTGTGCCAGGTGATGACGACCACGCACATATGTACGTACATACATATACGTATGCAATGTACATATGTACATTAGGGTGCATCACTCTCCATACAAAAAAAGAAAAATCGGTACTGTTTTTCCAACGAAAATATCAAATTTATTATATTTTTAAACTTCCATCAAAATATTGCGATTTACGTGAGCTGTACTGATTTGAAAATACCTCCAGAAATCGAGCTTTTTTATACCGATAACTAAAATTGGTTTAAAAAAAATTTTTTTTTTTTAAATCTGCTAATTTGATAGCAGAGTGTAAGCTTAAAAGGCGTGCATACACATTTTTGTTTAAAATTTGTTCAACGGCATCAAAATACTGAGATTTTTGTAGGTATTTGCAAATCGGTCTAGCTCACGCAAATCTAAATTATTTTCTGCAATATTTTGGCGAAAGTCTTCAAAAATAATACTAAGTTCTATAATTCCTGTGGAAAACCTGCGAATTTTCTTGGTGAGACAACCCTAATGTAAATACATATGCATGCATATATTTATGGCAATGCATGCACGTATATATACTTGCATATACAAGTACATACATATGTATGTTCATAAGTAACTCATACGCCATGTACACTGCAACGTTTGTCGTCCTTCGGCAAATGTCAGCATCTTTTAAAATTTTATTAAAATAAATAAACGTGAATATTTAAAATAAATAAAAACTTGCATTATTCAAATATGAGTATATACATATACATACATATGTACATACACACAAATATATGCAAAATGTGCCTAAAATGCCATACATCATTCGTTTATCTCGAACTGTCCATCTTCATTTGCAATCTTTTAATTCTTCTTTCAAGCAGCAGCTATTGAGCTGCTACTAAATATATTTGTTGTTGTTTTTTTTTCTTTTATAAATTTCCGTTTGTTTTGTCTTAGCTTGGTTAATAAGTAAGCACACATGGTTCTTTGCCAATTTCAATTAACGTTTTTCGCGTACAAAATTATACTTTCGTCAATGAAAAGTCATCACAGAGATATTCTCGAATGAAAAAAAAAACAAAGAAATATAAACGCGCTTAACTATATATTTAGATGCAATTCCCTTTCACTCTAATTTCACCTATGATTGCATTTACACATATTTACCTAGATATATACAAATGTACTCATAAGTACAGTCAGTATGGCAGACATGTGTGCATATATACATACACTGGCGGTCATTAGAATAGACTCGCCCTACTTTGAAGAGTTTTGGCTGTATTTCCATGGTTTATTTTATGTTTAATATTTTTTTATTAAAGCCTGGCTAGCTATACAACAAATGCCATATAAATCCCCTTTTTCAAACTTTATACAAAAATTATAAGTATTCGACAAATTTTCACCAAATTTTTAAACTTTTTATTCAGAATTTTTACAAAAATGTCTGGTATGCAGTTTTATAGCCCATTCATTAGGATAATTAAGTGCAAGTTTCAAGTGGCTAGAAAATACCGTTGATTTTGGACAATTTTTTTTGTTAACGATGCTAGGCATTCTCTTCCATATAAAAAAATTGTCGAGCACACTTTGTATGGGAAAAAATTCGTGACACCGTCAGCAAAACAAATTCTTAAAAATCAACGGTATTTTGTAGTCAATTAAAACTTGCAATTTATTATCCTAAAAAGAAATGGGCTACAAAACTGCATACCAGAAATTTTTCTAGAAATTCTGAATAAAAAGTTTAAAACAATGTTTCTAAAAATTCTGAATAAAAAGTTTAAAAATTTTATGAAAATTTGTCGAACTTTTATAATTTTTGTATAAAGTTTGAAAAGGGGATTTATGTATATGGGGTTTGTTGTATAGCTAGCCGGGCTTTCATAAAAAAAATATTAAATATTAAATAAACCATGGAAATATAGCCAAAACTCTTCAAAGTAAGGCGAGTCTATTCTAATGACCGCCAGTGTACATGTAAGTACATATTTTTTTTCTGCCTTGTATGGGAACTGATGATTGATTTGCTCAATATAGGCAATGACGCATTTTCATGTTGATGGCCAAATTGGTTTCGGATGCATCATTGATTTTATTGATCTCTTTTAAGTGACTGTTTACCGAAACAATTTTTAAATGTGTTTGGTTACTTTGCAATTCTCAAAATAGTATGCAATTAGACTTTTACTGGTACTAAATCTTCGTTGGAATAACGAGCCATAAAAGTATTTTCGTAGGGGCTAGCAGATGATTATATTTTTATTTTAGTATATCTCAACCACCTTACTATTAAGCCGCGGCAAAATTGTTTCAAATACGAAAATAACCCACCAATTCTAGGAGAAATTCATGTTACAATTTCGTTCACAAGGGTGTGAGATGGTGCACTGTGGTCAGGAGCCTAAAAATGTAGGCGTAATGGGCTAGAATTTTGAAAGAACCGAATCTGCAGTATCTTTTCGTTAAAGTAATGCATTTAGCTTGACCGAAATTTCCCAAAAAGATTCACAGTGATAGAGTTGAGTAAGGCTTTAAGGGTTTTAGTAACCGCGGAAGAAGGCAACGCTCTCAATATACATAACTAAAATTAAAGAAAAAAAGAAAAACAAACAATACGTCAAAAATAAAAAAGAACGTCATTAGAAATATAAAACTTATTCTAACTAAAAAAATATACTTACCCATACACCCGGATGAGTCACTCACACATACACCTTAATCGGTAACTTTTTCTTTAAAATTTTCCTTTTTCTTGGTTCTTCTTCAATCGCCACCGTTTACTTGCCAATTTGCAAATATCAAAGAAAAATATATCAAAAGTAGACAAAATCAAATATCTCGAGACCGAGAAGAGATAGTGGCATAAATGTAACAATATTTTAAATTTTTTGCGATGGATAATTCAGAAGAAATAGTGTCGATGGGTAAAATAAAAGCTCATACAGCTCATGGTTCCAACGTCTGCGGTACTCGCCGTCGCTAACGCGTAAAGACCCATAAATTTTCCACAAAATCTTTCTCTCGAATACTCCAAACGCCGCCTCATCGGATGATGTCATTGTCCATACGTCCGCGCCATAAACCAGCACAGGCATGATGAGTGACTTATAGAGTGTAATTTTTGTACGACAAGAGAGGACTTTACTTCTCAATTGCCTACTCAGTCTAAAGTAGCACTTGCTGGCAAAAGCGATTCTCCGTTGGATTTCAAGGCTGACATTATTATTATTGTTTTTAATGCTGGTTTCCGATTATGGCGGAGCTGGTGGTTTATTTTATCCATCCGTATCAGTTTCGCGGGGATGCCAAATTCAGACATCGTATAGGCAACTCATTTTAGAGCTGTCAAAAGCGGTTTTGATGTCGACAAATAGATGATGAGTGTCGAACCTTTTCTCGCGGGTCTTTTCCATGATTTGGCGTTTTGTGAATGAGCTATGGTGGATTTCCTATGTCTAAAGCCACACCGATAAGGCGCAATCCTTTCGTCGACGGTGGTTCAGTCTTCCACGCAATAAGCTTGTTAAGACCTTGTAACCTCTGCTTAGAAGGCTGATCCCGCAGTAGTTGGCGCGAATGGCGGGGTCGCCTAAGTTAGCAGCCTTTCATTGAAAAAATAATTAAATATTTTTAGAGTTAGAAGGTTTTATTTTCAATCCTTTTTAGTCATTCTAAATACCAAGAAAATTAACCGTTATCACCAGCATGTAGAGATATTTTTACCCTTTCCGTCAGTACCAAAAAGTTAGTTTAAACGAAAATTGGAGTTAGCAGCTTTAACCGCGGCACCGGCGATATGCACTAAAAATATAGAATCAGGCCAATGGGGATGCATTACTGTTTCGTCACTAACGGTACTTTTCCAAAGTTAATGGTTGATGGAAATTTTGTTTTAATTATTCGAAGAGTAAAGTAAGAAGGTTTACAAGCATTTTAAAAATTGCAGCAGGTAAATCTTCATCATATTCTAAATTTATACTTTTTAAGGGAAATCGATCATGTAAACCGAATAATTCCATTCCGTCAGTAAATAAAGTGACCGCGGCGGTAACCTCATTTAAATTATATTCAATACTCTACCTTTTTTAAATAGTAGTGTAGCGCATACAAAACTTCAGCTAAATTGGGTATCTAATGTTTACTATTTTTTGGCCGCTGTTTACTATCTGTGGCTTGAAATTCCATTTCTTGTCTAAAGGTTTTTGTTATTTTGACACAACTTCTTCCCTTTCATCCATTCCTTCGCCAATTATATTATGGACCAAAAACGGACACATAGCCAATGTAGCAGCGCATGTGCGCTGAAGACCTATTCTGTCCTAATTCAATCGATATACCGATTTTGAAGTGAAACTTCTTTAGCGGCGGTTGGTTAATAATAATAATATATGTAATAATAGATTGGCGCTTACACATATGTTAGTGTTTGGCCGAGCTTCTCCTCCGATTTGTGGCATACGCCTTGATGTTGTCACACAAATCGGAGGGACCTACATGTTTACGCCGACTCCGAAAGGCGATTGTATTTTTATGAGAAGCTGTTTTTCATGGCAGAAATACACTCTGAGGTTTGCCATTGTCTGCCGAGGGGCGACTGCTGTTAAGAAAAAACATTTTTTCTACATCTTTTGCGATGTTGATACCCAGTTATTGTGTTTCACTTCATTCGAGCTGGACAGTGCTACTACGTACATATGTATGTATAAAACACAATTTTTGGAAGTTGAAATTCGGAGATTTTTAACTTTGCTGTATTGACTTCTAGTCCACATTCTTTAGATCAGGATTGTATAGAACTTAAAAAAACAGTTTGTCTAATACAATCGGGTGCTTGCCAGTTGCAGTTAGTAATAGGTTCGCTGTAGATTCCAAAGGATTGGAGAGTCCTCCACCTTTTGCTGTTGCCAGCCTATCACATTTTGCTCATCTCCGAAATCGTAAACCGCAGTGCTCGGGATAATAGCTTAAACTAATAGTTGGCTCTCAATTAAGTGTTTTCGTATTATTTTAGATTAGTGTTCCTTTTCAAAATATTATTCCGTAGTAAGCGACATGTAGTATTTTATACTCGTAATTGTGATTTATGAAATCTAACAGTTCACTTCCACTAAACCTTAACTGCACTTTATCGCTTTTGGAAAAGGATATTACAACTCGAAAGGTGTAATTGTGTGTATTAATTTCAAGAAAACGGAAACCTTGTTGTTCACCCCATGTTAAAATGCTTGGACCTTACCTGAGCTCTTAACTGCTGTTAAGCTTTTGGTGGAAGTGGGCTTAAAAAGTACTAGGCCTAGAAACGAGCTAATTTTCTCAAACTTAAATCTAAATTAAGCTTTTTGAATACAATCAATAAAATTCGTTTGATCTGACCAGACCCTTCTTGCAACAAAAGCGCCTGGAAAGGGACCCTAAGCCAGACGGCACTTTATCAGTTGGTGCCATAGAAAGTTTTTAAAAACTACTTTTACTGTACATAGAAACATATAAATGTATATATTTTCCGCAACTAGTCAAAACAATTATCTCTATGAAATCCATTCGGTCTAAACATAATTGAATAAAAATCCAATCAGCAACTCCCACAGTCAAAGTCGCAAAAGCTATAGAACTGAACTATTTTCGCAGTGTAGAAAACTAAACAAAATATTCACACAAAAAAAATCAAGCACCTGGACTGAACTATTTTAAGAGTAGTACAAGAAAAAAAAATAAAGTCATTATTCATTTTTTGTCTGATGTTAGGAACACATGTGCGGAAAATTATTATTTTTTTTTTAACTCATTCTTATGCAAAATGCTCATGTTGACTTGCCAAAATGTGCCACAACTAACGGGGTCAACGCTTTTTTAAATTTTTACTTCAGAAAATTTATAGAGTATATTAAAAAATTAACGCAACCAGAAATATTCGAGATTGTTAATGATATAGTCTGGGATGCCGCACATAAAAACTTTAAAACTCAAGTAAAATGTTTACGTTAAAAATGGTGCAATGTTTCACATAAGCATATGTATTTATGTTTTGTAGGTGCGTTTATAAATTTGTGTGGCTAGCTATAATTATGTATGCAAGCATCTATCTGAGTTTGTACAAGAATGCATAAATGTAGCAACGGGCAATATTTCAAGATGCAAATGGGGTCACAGATTTATATTTAAGTTCAGGATAGAGAGCAGCACGATCGATGGAAAATGTATACAAAACTTAAAAAATTGTTGGGAAATTATTTTGAGAAATACATACGTATGTATGTATGTAGGAATGTGTATATACAAATGTCGTTGCAACACAAAAATCTTTAACTAAATAATACTCAGTATTAACGTATTAATGTGATACTTAAGTTTCAGCATTCGTTATATGTATAAATTTAGATACATATGCATGCACAATAGGCAATTAAAGATGGCTTCAAAATCATAGTCTTTGAACCAAAAACCTTAAGCTGAGATCCCACGATTGCCGCAAATGGACCAATCTGGAACAATTTTTATTGTGCTGTATTGGAGTCCAATGAAATTCTGTTCAGTCACACGGTTGCCTCTTTTTATACAATTCTCATTGCCGTAAGTTGGCGAAAAGCAATGTAGTGACAATAATTGCCCCAAACTTATCACACGATTGTTCGAGCATACGGCGATTGTGACCATAAAGTGTTGCGCTGACCTCTAAATTCTGTTTTTTTCTCTGTTGTGTAAAAATTGCATATTCTTAATAAAAAAAAAAAAAATCAATTGGATCTGCTTTGTATATTGCGGGCCCATTTTGTGCAAATTTGTTGTTGTTTGAAAGCAAAGAAGCAAAAACTTGTGCCCAACGAAAACTCACGCATTTATTTAGAAGTTTGATTGTATAGTTTTTTTATTTTTCGACGATAACTGCAACGTGCTATGTGGAGTTCAAGTTGCAACAGTTTTCTTTTTAATTTTGTTACGTAGAGGTTTTTTTATTCATTACAAGTAAAATTGGTACAAAAGAGTTATGTTTGTTTAAATGAAAGCTGCGAATTTACATAATTTATGTTTGGAATGAAATTTTATAATTATATGTACAGCTCGCAACAAAAGATAGCACCTTAACATTTTGATCAGTCTTGACTTTTTTCTTCTGTTGTTTAATGTTAATTTTTTCCTATAAAACCATAGCTCATTGTCTAGTAAAAACCACATAAGTCCAAATTCCAAACTTTATACAAAAATTATAAACATTTCTTAAAATGTTGATCACAATTCAATGGTTTTTAATTTGGGTTTCTAGAAAAAATTTTGTTTTGCAGTTTACAAAGTAATTTACAGAGAAGAAAGTGCATAATACCGTCAGCTAAAAAAATTATAAAAAATCAACAGGATCTTTTAGCAACTTCAAACCTCCACCTTACTGTACTAAATTTTAATGAGCTACAAAACTAAATAACCATTTTTTTCTAGAAATCCAAATTATAAACCGTGGGATTGTGTTCAAAAGTTTAAGAAATTTTTATAATTTTTGTATAAAGCTTGCAATTTGGATTTATGCATTTTTGTTAGACAATGAGCTATACTTTTATACGAAAATAATGAAGATTAAATAAGTAGAAGAAAAATAGTCAAGACTGGTCAAAATGTTGAGGTTCTACTGCTTTGTCGTGGGCTGTATTGAACTTTAAAGTTTTTTTTTTTAATAAATTTATACTGTCATGGCAGTCCGCCATTTGGTGACATAAAATACCTTTCGTATTCTTCTCGTATGAGTTTTGCTTGTGGTGGTACATATCGCGGCAAAGATTCCGTCATCGGACTTCAAGAAAAATTATAATTTCACTACAAATTATATTAAAAGTTATGTTGCTTCCGAAAACAAGGATATTAATTTCAGTGATTTTTGGACACATAAGGAAGCAAAAAAGTAA